CGACGTTAGTCGGTGGGCACGCACGGGAGGACATTAACGTTGTCCGTTGGAGATAATTCGGGGGATATGCGGGGCTTTATCACGGCCGATTGTTATTCCGACCGGCGGCATAACTGTTTCTAATGGGCCAGATGAAACCAGGGAGGAAACCGGATCCTCCCCTCGATCCCGGGAGATACCTGAGTGGATGTATCGAGCCGGCTCGAAACTTTGGATCGGGTATTCGCGTAAATTTCGTGGAAATTTCGTGTATTTTCTCGAGGGAGGGAAGAAGGGAGGGGCAAGCTTTTCGAAAATTAAACGATACGTTTTGGCGCGCCGATGAAAATCCGCACCGGTTTATTGTTCCGGTTAAAGTTTGGATAAACTGGCGAGCGACTCGATTATCATGGCCGATAATTAAACGCCTGGGAAATGCTTATCGTTTTACTTCTTATTATTCTCGAGCAGGTCGATGGAGAGGAGGAACGAGAGCCAATAAAGAAGTTTCCTATTTTTTTTCTTTTTTCGAAATTGTATTTCTATCCGTTCGAAACGATATATATATATATATATATAATGAAACGTGCATTCCTTTCGCGAGGTTGCTTTAACATCGATCAGGAGGAGGAAAAGGTGAAGCGATGAAAAGTGGAAGACACTTTTTCCTGAACATCTTTGATGTCGAAGTTAATGCAGTTTGTATTAATCTATGACGTAGATTATTTACATATAAAAAAGTTACACAAAAATATATACGCTCTTTTCAAACATATATATATATAATACGAACCAATTACATTATCGTGTTTACTCGATGCGCGCGTATACGTTACGATATACCTGAGAGCAAGAATCGAACACCGTGCATTGAAAATTGTACGAAATCCGGGATGGCGTGTCGCTTCATCGATCGTATCGCGAATGTTTTTTCGTGTAAAGAAACGTCAAATCAAGTATAGGTACATATAGGAGGGATGATAAGAGGAAATAAATTTCCTTTACATCCTGATAGGCGCAAAAACTAGTCATAGTCATAAGAGTTGCATAGATACGTATCTCTTGGGAATCTTAAACGCTGGAATTTTTCCACGAGCTGTTCTCGAAAGATCGAATCTCGAAAGTTTCTAATCACGCGATCGACAACCTCCTCCGGTGAAAATAAGCGTTCCGCGAGATTGAACGAGGGAAGGAAGAAAAAAAGAGAGGGACAGAGAGAGAGAGGAATCGATTTTCGAGCGGGAAGATGGTTCCTCGATGGCTTTCAATTAACGCTCGGTTACTCGACACACGACCGTGTTTACATTCAATTTCCTTGGCCTATAAAAATGAAGAGTCGATTTTGTTTGTGACGAACGTGTCTTTGTACAGGTGCATATGGGAAAGAAAGAGATGGAAAGAGAGAGAGAGAGAGAGTAAACTCGAAAGCATGGCAATAAGAAAGCCTCGTTCGAGGCTAAACAATCGGGAAGATTTTCCGCTTGGTTTGCTCCCTGTTCGGGAAACGATATCTCTGGATGCTCGTGGAACGAGGCCGCGACGTAATTTCAACAGTTGTTTGAATGATGAATGAAACGCACACAAAACGACGGGTATCTCGATATTGTCCCCTCTCTCGTTATAACAAGATCAACTTTCTTCTCTCCGCCTCGCGATCACGGCCGGTTTACACGGTAATAAACACAGCTTATTTCCTTTCCACTTCCCCCTCTCTCTCTCTCTCTTCCCTCTTCCTCCTTTCACAAGGACAAGGAAAACCGTTTATACCAAGTTCTCAAAGATTCCAGAACCGAGCAGATTATACTCGAGAATTATTACTTCATAATTCTCAACCTAATTGCATCGATGCGAGAAGGGTGTACATCTTCGCGCATTCCATTTCTCCTTTAATAAAAACCGCGACAATAATAACGGAGGGGAGGCGAAGTTGAGAGTAGAAAATACGAAACGTCGCAAAACACTCGCGAGTTATATCGTGCGCGATATAACGCAGATCGATATCAGCTATAATTGCTGGCCGCTTAACACTTGACCCCCGGTGGTGCGCATGCACGCGCGCAACCACGCATTCGTGCACCGAAGGGGGAAAGTAAAAGTGGCAGGAAATTGCATTAGAAGGGCACGCGCGCCCTTCTCTCTCTCTCTCTCTCTCTTTCCTTCTCTCCCCTGCCTTCTCGCATCGTTGCGTGTACACGGTCAGACTGGCGGCAGGTGGACCGTGGTGGCAAGGTCGTCTAGAGAGGTTTCCAAGGTTTCTAGGCGCGAGGTTAGGTTATAATGAAAAGTAATAGCGCCACGCCACCCTTCTCGGCCGTCGCCCTCTTATAAGCGTGTGTAAAGAAAATGTGATACGCTGGTGTTTATCGACGCGTGCGAGAAAAATTTATGCTCTAACTAGGAGTTTAAATTTCTGATAAAAATAATAAGGAAGAAGGGTATATTTCTTGTTGGAGAATAATTAACCCTTTGCTCTCCAATGCTGATTCTCGGTCACCACTTGGATCGATGCGGCAATATCTGAATGGCGACAATTATTTATGTTTGATTCTTTTAGAATATCGCTTCGTAAATAGGTTCCTAAACTCTTTACGTATAATCTTATGAGGTGTAATCTTATCTTATGGTAATCTTATGAGGCTACCGAACGCACCGAATGCGTCTGAGTCTGGAGTTGCTGGTTCGATCGAGCGAAATAGGCCTGGAATGCAAAGGGTTAATATTAAGTATTATATAAATTATAATACTGCATCAAAGGGAGGAAGAAAACAAGTTTAAGTTTTTCGAGTATTTTTGAATGTTTGAATATTCGATCAACGAGAATAGTCGATTGTTTTGGGAAGAACTTTAATTATTAACCCTTTGCTCAATGGTGACTCTCACCACTGGGATTGTTGCGGCAACTTGAACGGCGACAATATTTATTTATGTTTGATTCTTTTAGAATATCGCTTATGAGTAATTATGAGGCCACCAAACGCACCGAATGCGTGACCAAAGTCTGAGTCTGGAGTTGCTGATTCGAGCAATAGAGTCGGAGTCGAATGAATCTCGATGAACATCAAATAATTCTCAAGACAACGAAATATAATCTGTATAATCGAAAATTAAATTACGCTGTTTGGCGGCTATTAATCTCTTACGAAAGTACGAAAGAAAGAGAGTGATAAATGATCGAGGAGAGTATTCCGGCGGGCGATAGATTTAACGGAGCCATTTCGAGAAATTAAATTCTGCTCGCACGCTGCAATCTCATTAAATTGGCGGGGAAGAAACGTGTGGTTGTGTACGACGCCGGTGGAAAGCGTGGCGATGGCGTAACGTGTCCCTGGGTGGCCGAAATGAGAAAGAATCGAGGCCAGACGGAGGGGTGGCTCGCTACGAGTTCCGTATAAGGTATATAAGTAACCCCCCTCGGTTCCAAGGGTTCGCCTTGGGGAGTGCTTTCCAAGCGTTTCAGTTTCTCGAAGGAAACGATGGCCGAGAAAAGCCTAAAAAAGGCTTGCCCTTTAGGAAAAAACCTTAATTATATATTTATAAAAAGGACCCTGCACGTATGGCAACCACGTATTTCCCCACGTATTTCTTTTTTTCCCCATTTCCAACAAATTCTCCCTCCGAGCACATCCTTTTTTTTTCAATCGTACAATTGCCCGTGTGCGCGATAAAATTGCAAAAGCAATAACAGGATGAGTGGAAATGAATCCACTTTACGCTCGAGATCGCATCCCCTAAAATGCGCGAAATAAAAGTATCAACGGTAACAACAGTTCGAACGGCAACAACACACGGTGGTTGGAGGCGACTCCATTGGACGGGAGTAATCCAATATCGGTGTCGGAAAGGAGAGGAGGCGAAAGGTGGGAAAGGTATTTCAATAAGGGAGCAAACAAATCGAAGGAGGAAGCGGCCGTTCCACCGCGGACGTCGCGAAAGGAATTGAAAGAGCGGTGTGGGAATAGCGGCGGTAATAGTAGTCGAAGTCGATGCCTGGTCGTACCGAAAAGAAGAGTGGAGGAAGGGCACGCGATGGCACGGAACGTACATACCCCCCCTCCCCGTTCAAGGGTGGGAAACGTGGGCAGAATGCGCAGAAATGCCGGCCGCAAAACGCTCCGTCACGCGAGAGAACCGCGTTTGTCCACGTACGATTTATCCCCTCCGCTCTCTTGCGTGTAACGCTCTCTTGCACCTACACGTGTATCCGTAAGGACTGCTACATCTCTCGGGGCCGCGCACCCCAACGTCGGATAAACCGCTTATTTTATTCATCAAACGTGAGATCAATATTGCATCGCGCGTTGTGCCAAGACGGTGGTGTACACAAAGAGAGGCGAAGAGAGAGAGGGAGGGGGGAGGCGAAGATCGGGGAATGCGGGCGATGGACGTTCAAACCGATCGCGTATCTCTGTCCACGCCTCTGTGATCCAACCCCCGGCCCCTCCGTCTCTCCCTCGTCATACCTAACGTGGCGGAATGTGGGATGAAATTAGTCCTTAACCCTCCCCGCTCCGACGCGGTGGAACGCGATCCCCGCCCTGTGACGGGATGTCGGACGTTGGTATTCGAGTACGTGGCCAAGCGCGGAAACGCATCTTGCCGGCGATGTAAATGTCATCTGAGAGAGGCTGAGAGAAGAGGGTTCGAGAGAGGGCGCAGACACAGTTCGCAATTTCGTCGATTATTGGCGTCTTCTTTTTCTCTATTGGCGTCGCGTAGTAGTGTATCCTGGACGCGTAACGTATCTCTCGAAATATTTCTTTTCTTTTTTCCTTTTAAAATGTAAGATAAGAGAATATAAGCGAATCGTTGGGATTCCTTCGAAACTTGGCAAGTTGTTCTCAAAACTCGAAAGTTGACGTATACGTTCGTAATGATCCGATAAGATAGGTTATCTGGGAAGGGGAGGAGGAAAGGGGGTTGGAGAAAAGTGGAGAGAAAAATATAGGGGAGGCGAAAGGTTATACCCCGAAGAGTCGGAGGACCTCGGTCTCGGTCTTTAACCAAGGTTTCCACGGTTGCAGGTAATACAGGGTAACACGAACACGTATTTGGAGTCGAAGCACGAGCTGGAGCCGCCTCTGTGGGCGAGCAAGATCCGTTTTCTGCCCTACAGCCATCACACGCGGACGGTTTGCATGCGGGTCGAGCTCTACGGATGTTACTGGAGCGGTAAGCTGTTTGCACTCTCCAATTTTCGTTGAACTTGCCGCCGCTTAGAATACTCACTGGACTGTCCATTAACCCTTATGCCATTCCCGTGTGCGCAAATTTGCTTTTCACAATCTTGCTTGTACAATTATCCCTTTCTTCCTTTGATGAACCAACATCGAATTAAACGTTTAACCAAACGGAAAGGTACACACCAAGTAACATAGACTGCTATTGTGTCTTACACGCTCGCCGTGCTTAGAAGTTCAATTAATTGTGAATCCAAATCCTCCAGGCAGTTTCCAAGAACTTCCTATCGCTTGATTAATTCTCCCTCCCTATCTCTCTTTCTCTCTCTCTCTCTTATCTCGACGAATATTAATTAATAGAAACGCAGTATGGATTCTTCTTTGATTCTATTGAACTGCACATCGAAAAAGTAACGTAAATCTTTATCCCCCTCCACCTTCTTTCTCCTTACGACTGTTGCACTGTTGAGCGATCGAAAGATGGAGCGGGGGTTGCAGGGATGACTCGTCGCGTTTGATCTTTCCGCAGATGGCGTGGTATCTTATTCGATGCCCCAAGGCGATAAGAGGGGCAACGAGTGGGAATTCTTCGACGCCACGTACGACGGACATTGGGACGGGGAGCTGCAGCGTGGTCTGGGCCAGCTGACGGACGGCAGGACGGGCCCTGATAACTTCAAACTTGCGTACTACGATAAGGATCGAACGCAGGGGTGGGTCGGTTGGAGGAACGACACGCGCGGCCAACCGGTCGAGATCAAGTTCGAGTTCGACAAGGTCAGAGAGTTCTCGGCCATCCACATCTACTGCAACAATCAGTTCACCAAGGATGTCCAGGTGAGCCTTTACCAATTTCTAAATTTCGTCAAATCGTAACGGGATCTCGCTCGTATCTCGTATCAAGTTTTCATTCCTTCCAACGCCTTTTTTCCAGATTTATTCGATAAATAACAGGTTCGAACTTAAAGCAGTTAAGTCCGTCCAGTGATAATTAAAGAAACGTCCGAAAGTACGGAGAGATAGTAGCGAAGGGTCGTCGGAATAAAATTCCTAGGAATCGCGTCGCGTTGAGAGATAAAAATAAATTTGAAAGCGTTGAGAATTAAGAGGGGACAGCTTTCGCGTCTAATTACGTATCCAACGTAAACACGTCGTGTAAAAGCGTTGGAATCGTTTACCCTACGTTATTCCTCCCCTCCCCTCAAGGTAAGAAGGAATGCGCAAGCAGCGTGGCCGATCAACAGGCTTACCCATCCACGCAGCCTCGTTCCAGATCCTCTTTCTCTTTCCCTCCCTCTTTCTCTTCCTCTCGATCCTCGAAACGTCCTTCTTCCACGGTTGATTGAATATTCCGCTCGACGCTTTTCATCGGTCGGACGCCGGTTGAATGTAAAAAAATACAAATTGAAACACGGCGATTCCGTTATCTCGGAAGGAAGCGTGACCTCCTTGGGGGATATTGGTTAAAAGCGTGGCGAGAATAATCGGGGCGCGTGATCTCTGTTATTAAACTCACAGCCGCCACTTCACTTTCGTCATCGACGATCTCCTTTCATTAAAAGCGCACGCTTTCAAGCCGGACGCATTACGCTCGCGCATCCACCCCTTTTCAACCATCCTTGCCATCATCGATTTCCTCGTACGCAAGAAGGATTTCCTTATCGCGCGGTATGATATTCAATTTCGTGAAATTTTGTAATTATGTAATGCGTAAACGTGGGCAACGAGGGAAAATCGTTGGTGTTTCGTTCGGATAAACAGGATAAACAGTTGTTTTCAATTATCGAGTTGATCGAGTTTATTTTTACATTATAATAAGGATTTAAAGAAGTGTCTTTTTGCAGGTTTTATTTTCTTCCTTTTATATCATTATCGAATTCCAACGATGTCGATAGAAATTTTCCCGGGTAAATTAATTAAAATGTGATCTGGCTTTGCGCAAATTGGTGTTTGCAAAATTCTGTAACTGTTTTCGTTGCGTTTCGGAACAACACGATTTACAACCGTTTAAATAAAAATTCCGGTTGGTCAAATAAGATAACCGTTGGCGTTATTTTTGTATTCTCTACGGTACACCGGCGGGAAACAAATCACGCGGAAACGCGCGGTTAATGCGAAAATTCCTCTAGATATTTTTAATAACGAAATTACAAACGTTGGAAGAGAGAGAGAGAGAGAGAGAGAGGGAGAAGGTAGGAAACGATACGTCGGTTAATTTATTCCCGCTCCAAAATGCCATGCATTTGAGAAGAGCGCGCGGGTCAAGGAAAGTTTCGCTTTAATTCGCCGCCGCTTCGTTAATTGGAAAAATACGGGTGACATTAAACGCGTGCCGGACGATATTAAAGCGTGTGTACATTTGAGCCTCGATTCTACTCCTTTCTTTTCTCTTTCTCTCTCTCTCTCTGCTCCGTGGAATTAATGTAAATCCATAAATCTAATTCCCACGCGCGTGTACCAGCGAAAAAATCGCTATCATCGCGCGTTCCAGAGAATGTACAGTCGATCACAAAAGTTAGTAAGTGTCAGTGAAAAATTTTCTAATTGCGACAGGAATATTTTGTAATTTGAAATTTTACTCGATCTCGTTTTATTGTAAAATTGTATTTCAAGAAACAAAGGAAATGTCGATATTTTTCGAAACCGTGATCTTTGTTCTTGATCAAAGTACGAGCCATTTAATCATTTTTCCAAAAGATTGCAAGTGACATGTTCCATTTTTTATAAAGCTTCTCGAGCGTCGAATATTTTATTTTTTAAAAACAGTTAATAAATAGTGATGATCTAGTTTACAGAACTTTTTCAGCCTTAATGAAGGTTTCGACGTTGTTCAGGATTTTCATCAGCGTTCAATTATTGTCCAGATCGTGTACGATTGTCGTATAGTTTCTCACGGGTTATAATTCTAGTTCAAAAATGAACTTCTACCGTTTTGAAATTTATGCGATAAGCACACTTCGAAACGTGGCAATTTTGATCCTCCGTCGGTGCGCTATCCATTTCCCCAATTTTTTCACTTTCTATCATTGCAGCGAAATGTCTGAAAACTGTCGTTGGAAATACGTCTAACTCCACTTTGCCTTTCAATTTATCTTTGTTTAATATCTATCTCGAGGCTCATTTTCAAAATTCTCATTTCCAGATCCGAATTTTTGAAGCCATTGAACGGTCCTCTCATTGATAGAATCTTCTCTAGAATCTAATAAAATTCGTACATAGTATTTTAAATTCGATAACACCATATTGTCCACTTCTCAAAAAACAATGAAACTAATACAACAAATAACTTTGCACAAGGAGATATAAGAGAACAACGTCAAAATATAGGATTGTCTAAAATCTATTCTAAAATTTATTGTCTAAGATTAATTTAAATTAAATTTAATTAAATTTATTGTCTAAAATTAATTGTCTAAAATTTATTCTAAAATCGGCAACCTAATATTTTTCTATTCTCTTCCCTCGTCCTCTTCGAAATGCTTCGTCGTGTGTTATAATCTAGCTTCACAAATCTTACTAAACAGCGCTCAACTTTCGTTTCAAAACGCTGTCGTTTAATCGATCGTACGATATTTCACCCTGGATATAATCGATTTTAATACATATAAACTTACTTAGCCTAAACGAAGATTTGTGCGAGTGGATCAAAATTACCGCGTTTAGTCATTCCTTCCTACGTTGCGTTGTATCGTAGATGGGGGACAAGCGGAAATGAGTTCTTGGCCTCGCGTCATTCGAGGCATTCTTCGCCTCGGACGGCCGCCCAATAATTCGACCCCCTTCGTACAATTTCCGTCTCGCCGCGATTTCGCGACCCTTTCGCGTTAACTCGGATAATGTAATGCAAATACATTATCCGCCACTCTCTTTCGCAACCCTCGTTTCGCGCCACCCTCTCGCCCCATTGATGCGATCGAATGCGAGATCCATGGATGGAATTATTTCCGCTCGAGGCAATAAAATTGGCCGCCATCAAAGGGATCAAACTTCGGATTCAAACGGTGTTGTTCCCGAAAGTGGTTATTCAATCGCGCGTCGTTCGAGGTGGTAACCGATTTATTTATTTTTGTCAGAAGAAGAGATTTTTTTGGAGAGATAGAATAGGTTCCAGTGGAGAGAGGTATTTAATAGTTGGATATTTGGAGATGTGGCCGGTTGAATTTAAACTTTCGAAATTATTGGATTATTTCAAGAAAGATATTCAATATCTTTCTGTAATCTCCATTTATACAACAGCGCGAAACGAGGATAATTTCAATGGATCGAACTGAAAAACGTGAAATATTCCAATTTATTTTATCACTGGAGAAGGTGGAAAAACATATAACGTCGATATTGAAATAATTAATCGATATACAAACGGATGCGTCGCGATTACGCACAATCGTTTCTTTCTTTCCTTCTCCCTTTTTCCTTTTCGTTCGAACGAAAGGGAAACGCTGGCAGTTGACAACAACGTTCGCCGCAAATAACATAAACGCAAAATGCACGAGATAGGAATAGCGGGGGCGGACTTGAAATCCGCTTTAAACTCGCGAGCCGCCGCGGCGCATTTAAAGATTTGGCGGCGCGTGCGGTGAAATATGCATGGACGATTATTGAACACACACAGTGGCCATAAATAGGGAGCGGCCGAATTCGGATAAAAGGTGGCGAAGAGGGGAGGAGGGACATATATTTGCCCCTCTCAATCAACAAGGCCTATCAATCCCTCCTTCCCTCTCTCCTTCCCCATCCCCTCCCTCGTTTCATCAAAAAATCATTTTCGATAATTGTTCGATCGTTTCGATCCATCACTGCGTTGCACGAGTCCACGAAACGCTAACGACACAAGGCTTGACGAAGTTTAAAAATTTCATACACGGCTCATGAATACATTGACACGGGGGCAGGGGGGAATAAATAACACCGTTTAATTGAAACGTTCGATACCCCGTCCTGGACTGTTCCTGGACTGGAGGGGGGGAGGAAGGAAGGGGAGAAGAGAGAAGCGAGAAGAGACTGTATTTTCGGTATCAGCA